AAAAGACAACTCAGCTTGCAATCCTCAGACGCATACTGCTTATCGATCTGTTTTAGGCCAACTTAATTGGTTGCAGAGTCGAACGCAAGTTCATGTGTGTTACAAGTTCTCCAGATGCGCGTCCGCCGCTTCGAGTCCAACCATTGGTGACGTCCGTGAGATCAACAAGGTCGTCCGCACCATGAAGAGCCAATACGTCGATGCACGTTTTGGCCTCTGAAAGGTCATCAACGCACCCTTGGTTTTCCAGATGCATCGTATCCTAATAATAGTGACAAGTCCAGTCAGCGTGCACATGTCATCTGTTTGGCCGAAGAGAGACAACCATACAACGCATACAACGCTCGACATTCCGAGAAGAAAGATAGTTCTGCAACACGTGGATCCATCATAGACTACGAAAGGCATAAGATCACCACGACTACTCAGTCAACCACGGTTGCCGAACTTCAAGCCTTGATGAAGTGTTTTGGCACTTGTCTCTTCCTTCGTGCTCTCACGGGCAGCATCAAGAGGAACGTCCCGTGACCCTGCCAGCCGACATTCCGGCAAAGGCAAGGCAAAGGCAAGGGCCGCAAAGGCAAGGAACGCCGAGATCCCGGACCACGACCAAAGGGCATGGATTCTGCCTATGATCGGCCAGACTACGGTGTCAGCACTTGCTTCGTGTTTTGCTTCTAGCTCATCTGGTCGGGATTCTTCAAGATCGGCGAGGCCGCCATCAGGCGGAGTGCGAAATGCAAAAGGAACTCGGCTTTATCCTCCGACATTCCGGATGGACCCATGCCGACAAGTCACTGTCCGTCTTTGAGCTGATTGCGGGTGCCCGGCAGGAAGAGGAACCGGTCTTCCCCGCAATCAAAGGCGTCTCAAATTTTGTAATTGGCGCGAACACTCTCAGGAGACCATTAATATGCTCTTTACAATTATGTATAACCAAAAGGGCCGGTATCAGATTGGAGTTCTGAGCGTATCTGATCACCGAAACGGCGAGAAGCTCATCGACCGGCCCAGCGTTACGGCTCAGGAGCGCAAAGCATTAGCCTCTCAATATAAGCAGCTTAAGGCCGCACATGTTTTTGTTCAAGCTGTATCCAATCATTCAGGCGACGCCGACATTCCGGCATCAGCTTTGAAGATCGCACAGTGCCACCTTTCCGACATTCCGGACAGCTTGGTGCACATGACTGAATTTCGCCACCTCCGTTCGATCATTCAGCACGGCTTGTTGCCAGGAGGTGGAAACATTGTGGGCACGAAACAGAGGAATATGAACCATTTTCTTTCAATTGGCTCCTTGCTCCTCGCCCACGAGCACATCCGTCCGACAGCAAACGTAGCCCTGGTTTTGTCGAAAGCTACATTAGAGACGCACCGTGAGATTCAGTTCTGTCTCTCTAAAAACGGCTACTTCTTGACCAAGAACGTCATTACGTTCGGCCTTTTAGGTTTAGCGTGGAACGTCGGGGATAAGAAAGCAGGCCGTTTCTTGGAGCCAAGCCGTGCACCGTCCGCAAGCAAACGCAAGGTGCTTGCTCCGACATTCCGGAGACAAAGTACCATGATCCATCCTCGAAGAAGCGAGCAACTTCACGCGCACGAGAGGTCATGCAGGACGCAGCCGACGCGCAGAAAGCCGAGTTTCAATTCAATCGCACCAGAATTCATGACCTGCCTCGCTTGTAGCCAAGGGGATGTTTTGTTCTTTTGCCGAGCATGCGGACACGGCACATGCCTCGATTGTTAACACGATAAGAGCAACCAATGCACTTGCATCTCGACGTGTTTAAGCACCGCTCGGAAAACGCGAGAGAGAGGAGATCACGGCAGAGATTGGCTTCACCACGCCGTTCGCTCCAGAGTCCGGGGGCTGGCATCCCTTAGACCGACTCGCTGGCCGTCGTCGCCGTCTTCGTGCAATGAGGGACTTAGTGGAAGGCGGCGGATCCACAGGCTATGCCGCGATGGATCGCATTATTTTAGAGGAATCTGGCAAATACCACTATAGCAATCATCCCACATATCACGCCAGCGACATTCCGCCACTGGTCGAGCACTGGAACAACCAGTCAGATATTGCTCCTTACCCTATCGTCCGACCGAGCTGCTTCCCGCCGATATTCCGGCGAGGAATTGAGGCACATCGTTGATTTGAGCCGGAGCTACATGGCAGGCTTCAGAGTAAACCACGGTGATTCCAACCTTGATGATGCAAAACTCCTCCGTTCCACTGAACACGTCTCAGTTTTGCTGCTCAACATGGGCGACATTAACCGTCCGCCTCACTTCAATGGGAAGCAGCGGTTGCCCAGCAACTCCAAGATACCGACCAGCACTGCGTTCTTCCGCGCTACTTGGTCAGGAATACCGACCACGTAACGGTGCTTTTGGAAGCGGGCGGCTTGGATCGACACAGCGATTTGTTCCGACAATATAACCAGATGTGTATCGTAGCACTGCCAGATGGCGAATCACATCCAATCGCCTGCGTCAGCTCCTCAGACGGCATTACGTCTCGGCTGGAGCTAATTCGCCGCATTGAACTCGAAGCTGACCGCCTTAACTGGCTGGCACACGCGGCTACCTTTCGAGTGATCTGGGGCACGGTCGGAGACGACACCCACGGTGGAATAACAACCGATAAGGGAGTCCGCATGAATCTTCGCCTAGCCATTGAAGAACACGGCGAGGACCCTGCCGAAGACATGGGAGTAGTTTTTTGCCCTGATGCATTAGGTGTAGTACAGGCAACAACCACCTTTCTCCAGGTTGAACCCATTGATGCTGAGGTTCTGTTCCACGAGAGTGCGACATTCCGGACTGGACGCCTTGCATTTAATTTCACCTGAACTCCTACGCATTAAATGATTGCATAACAGCAGGAAAGTCAGCTCTTACCAAGATTTTGGTAACTGCTGCGGCGGACCACGTGGACGTCATTGTGTGTGACGCAAATTTGTTCACCAAACGTAATTTCAGGCAGGATCGACATTCCGATCTGGCTACCGGCGCAGTCCTCACTATCTTAGACCAAATTCTTGTTTCTGCTAACAAGTTGTGCGAGTCCAGTAAACTTAAACGCATCACCTATAACTGGGAAGTCTCGACGCTTGCTACCGAGCAACTCCCCGCACTAGAAGGACGCGATGCCGACGTCGACTGTTTGACGCAGATCGCACTGAATTACGCTAAGGACATGCACACACTGCTGAGAAGGTCATCCGACATTCCGGAAGACCAAGGCCATGTAGGATATGAAGGACCTCCACGCCAAAAGGAGACGACCATTGAGCCCAACGAGTTTCTCAAGCACTTAAATCATTTTGATTTCTGCCTCGAATCAAACGATGAGGCTTTCCATCACCCATTCCAATGCAATTTCTCGTTGGCAGCTAGGTCCAATAACCGTGCGCGCGGAGAAGCCTCTGCTGAGCATCGTCGCCAAAAGGACAATGAGCGCATTCACTGGAGAAGACAAGAGCGACAGGATTGGTGGCAATCCAGGCTCGTCCCCGTCCTGGTGGCAATCCGGACAGTCCGGCCGGGACTCCGGATACAGAGGCTACCGCAGATGGTAAAAAACGTCCACGCATAGCCGATATTCCGGTATTTGCATTTGAAAATTTGCAACTCAATCGACCCAAGTATTTTCAGCGCAATAGACTTGATTAAATCATTTTCAGGAAACAGCAACAAGCCTTTGTAAGGTTTGACTTAACTGTAAAGATTTGAACAGCCTTGAATGAACTTCCGACATTACGGAAAGTTTGACGGCAAGAATATGCCTTTCGTAGATTTTGTAGATAGTCTGACGTTAAAGATCAAAGGGCCAGAATGGCATCTACGGTCAAGTTCTGCGAAGCCGGAACTTTTGTAATTCACTTGCATTCTTGTGCTCTTGCAACCTGTTGTACTGTTTGCAGCCGTAAGCTTCGACACGAAGAAAAGTTGTGTCTGTTTGTGTTTGTAGGGTCCTAGGCTCCCCTAGGCGTGTCTACGCTATACGTGTGTGGCACCTGTTGTTGGTAGATAGATTTTTTGTATATACCTCTTCAGTCAGCTGCCGCTCTAATTCATTTGGCTCAAGACTTTGTAGCCCAATACTGCACTGCAGCCATAGAGCAAAGGTGTGCATCGCTGCCGCTCGCACACTCGCTTGTGATTGGGTCTTACTTGGTGTATTCGATCAGGTCCAGTATACTCTACTGCCACTTGGGGGAACTTACCCCTCACCCCCCCACCCCCCACTCCTCCTGCCGTCTGCCACGAATTCTTACTTGAATGAATGTAAAAGCCCTTTGCATCCACATGGAACGTCATTATGGCCATGATTCCCCCCCCGCCCCACACTCCTCCTACCTCCACTCTGTTCAGCCATATGCTGTTGGCAAACAAATCTTACTTGAATGAATGTAAAAGCCCTTTGCATCCACATGGAACATTATTGTCTTGGCCCCCCCCCCCCCCCCCCCCCCCCCCACCCCACACTCCTCCTCCTGCCGTCCACCACTACTTCTTACTTGACTGAATGTAAAGGCCCTTTGCATCCACATGGAACGCTATTATCTTGGCTTAGTTTCTGCACAGTCTAACTTGGTTTCTGAATCGGCTGTTTTGGTTTCTGAATCGGCTCTTTTGGTTGCTGAATCGGCTCTTTTGGTTTCTGAATCGTAGTTGCTGAATCGCTTGGTTTGGTTTCTGAATCGGCCGACTTGGCTTCTGAATCGGCTGTTTTGGTTTCCGAATCGGGACTCGCTTGGTTTCTGAATCGGCCCGCTCATTTGGTTCCTGAATCGGACCATTTGGTTTCTGAATCGGACTGTTTTGGTTTCTGAATCGTAGTTTCTGAATCGGCTGTTTTGATTTCTGAATCGTAGTTGCCTGATCGGTTGGTTTCTGAATCGGTTGGTTCCTTTTACAAACAAGAACACCCACCCAGTCCGAGCGTCCTGCGCCGACCGTCCCCCAACGGCTCAACCCGTCGGTTCGTTCGGCCAGTCCGTCACCGAGGAAGGCGGTGGGGTCCATGTGCTCGGGCGAACACGAGACCTGGGCGCGCGGAGACAGAACTGGGCGTTGGACGGAGCGGTGGAGTGACGGAGTGATGGAAGTTGGCCCCAAGAAAGCGAAGCTTCGGAAATGTCAAGCAAAAGCTGGCTTTCAAAGGGCCAGAAGTTCCCACTGAACTAAAACGTGTTGCAAACTGCTTCTGACTCGTAAACGCGGCGCTCGTTGTCCTGCCAAGTGTTGCAGACAAAAACTCAAAAAGGCAAAAAGGCCTCAGTTTCCTGCTGCACTTCCCACTTTCGTTGCTCTGCTTTGTCTTCCAGTGTCTCTTCTTTCCACCGATCAGAGCTCTCACGCCAGTTCCAACCACTCCACCAATCACTTCTCCATTGCTTCCAATCATTCCAATCATCTGGTTCCTGCCATCACCAATCACAGCACTGTTTTGCTCACATTTGCTCACGAAAATTAAAGAAGTTGCCCTCCTGATCATTTAGGTCTTTAGGTCTTCAACTCTTTCTTTTCAAATCCTTCCTTTCGTTTCACGTCCTGCTTTTCATTTCCTAAGCGCCCTTGCGTTCCAAACACATCGGTTCGTTTCATGTCAGGTCATTCCTATTTGTTTCAATAACTTCCTTTCGCTTCTAATCCAGCCTTTTTGGACCTTGATTGAGAAAACCCCTGCGTGAAACGGCTTTGCAATCAACATGGGGAGGATATATATATATATGTGTGTGTGTGTGGATTTTAAATTAAGATCAGGTGATTTAGGCCAAGTGCGTTCAAGTGACATGCAACTTCCCCAGGAAAGGTCTAAGTCACGTAGAGGTGTAAAACCTACAGACCATTCCGACCCGGTCATCATCGTCTTTTGCTTTTTGGGGGCGTTGTCCACCACTCCAAAGCGGAATTCCATCCTTGTGTGCTGCGTTCGGGGGGGCCCGGGCAGAGGAAACATATCAGAGACATTGTGAGACTATGATTTTGGTGGCAGTGCTTAGTGTCCCACATTGGAGCGCTTTAGATTTTGCAGTTTGTCCGGATTTGAGGCGTTTCAATGCCGGTGTCCGAAATCCAGAAATCTTCACTGTTGTCACACACCTCAACCGTTCATGACATGCCTGACGTGCACCTATTGCAAAGGATAAAGACGTAGTTCTGTTCCTATGACCAGTTTTCTTTCATTAGCTCTAATCTTCCAGGAAGAGGACCTGGCGCACCAGACTGCACCCAAGGCCCAAGGCTCCAGACAGCTGTGCACTCTCAGCCCACGCACCCAAGGTTCCAAACAGCTGGACAAACTGCGCAACAAGCCCAGGCAGCGCCCAAATTCCAGACAGCGGCGCGTTGAACCGCTAAGCCCACAGAGTTCCAAACAGCACCCAAAGTTCCTGGACACCGTTTTGGAGCCCTGGACCAACTGCGCACCACTCCCAGCCAGAGATTGAAACCCAACTGCATTCTGCTGTTGGGGAATGTGCAGAGATTGAGACCCGGCTGCGTTCTGCCGTTGGGAAAAGATGTTTGAGAACGTCTGACATTCAAGACTCAACATCATGAATCATGAAAGACTCATCAAGAAACCGTCTCTCACTTCCCTGTTTCAATTCTGCGTTTAAAGCGCTCTGCTGTCGCAGCTCCTGACGTTCTTTCTCCTTCTGCTCTCTCTCCGCACGCCACTTGGCTTCTTGCAACTCCTGTTCGCGTTGCTTCTGCGCCTCCTTGCGCTGCAGTTTCCGGCGGTTGGCCTGGACGACCCGGCACACGTCGCGAGAAAGCGAAGCTTCGGAAATGTCAAGCAAAAGCTGGCTTTCAAAGGGCCAGAAGTTCCCACTGAACTAAAACGTGTTGCAAACTGCTTCTGTTGGTGGAACAAGAATCCTGCACCTCTGCCCCCCGAAACAAAACAAAGACTCGTAAACGCGGCGCTCGTTGTCCTGCCAAGTGTTGCAGACAAAAACTCAAAAAGGCAAAAAGGCCTCAGTTTCCTGCTGCACTTCCCACTTTCGTTGCTCTGCTTTGTCTTCCAGTGTCTCTTCTTTCCACCGATCAGAGCTCTCACGCCAGTTCCAACCACTCCACCAATCACTTCTCCATTGCTTCCAATCATTCCAATCATCTGGTTCCTGCCATCACCAATCACTGCACTGTTTTGCTCACATTTGCTCACGGCAAAAAAGAAGTTGCCCTCCTGACCATTTAGGTCTTCAACCAAATCTGACCCCTTGAAAAGTCTTGATTCATCTGGGCTGTGAATCAGCAATGTTCCGCGTCGCGGGGTCAAAAGCATGGTTAAGGCCCTACAAAGCCACGCCCCCTGAACAAAATGTCAAAAAACCTGCAGCACTGGCCGGGATCCAACTTTTCTTTAATCAGCATCTCTAAACTGGCCCTTCACTGCATCTGAAACTTCTGGTTCAATTGACGGGTTTGTTTCATCTTCACGTCAGTCCGATGGGCGTCGTACGTCTATCGACTGTCCTCGTCCTCTTCTTCCTCTTCCTTCCCCTCCTTCTGCGCTCCTTGTTGCTCCAAGGCACGCTGGCGACATACCTCATCACGGTACGCTGCCACTGGCAATTGAAGTGCATCTTGTTCAAGGTTCATTACAAGTCCATCCGTTCGTTTCATGTTACGCCTTGTTCGTGTTTCAATGCAATCCGTTGTTTAAGTCCAGAAATCAACAACGACCCGCGGAAAGCACTACCACGTGGTTTTATGCTGGAATAAAACATGTCCCCACATCTAACCATACTTTCACCTGGAAATTCCTGGCAGCCAGCTGGCTTGCTGCCACGGATCTGTCTGATCGTCATGATTCCAGTCACCTCGTGACCAATCCTGCATATCTGGTGTTTTGAGCGGAATGGGACGAAAAGAAACTAACTGATCAAAATTCTCGCTGCGCGCCTTTCCACTTGGCGCTGGAGCTGCTCGGTGCTCGGCAGTCCAAGAAGATGCTGGTCCATGAGCAATCCAGTTGGATGTTGACTGCTTGGGCCCGCCAAACGCCTCAATACCATTCAGGTCGTAGTTTCAAGTTGGAGGTGGACAAGTAGAATTGAAAGGTTCTGTTTGCTCGTTTCGCGCGCACCTTGGCTCCGCTCACCTTCTCTTGTTGGAGCTCATTCTGGTGGATGGCAGCGGACCCTTGTTTTAGCGTAGCCTCATGCTTGTTCTGCGCACTCACCGCCAAAACTGGCACCTAGGCATTGCTTGGGGCATGGCAAACAAACACTCACATGAAGCTCGAGAGGGCGCGAAATCGCTGCGACGCCGCAACGCAGCGACGCCGCGGGGGCCAAGCTGACATGTGGGCGTCTTCGCCCATTCGCCCCCTGATTCTGCGACGCTGCGACGCTGTCTGGCTCGCATCTTCGCGAAGTCCCTTCTTTTGAACCCCCTTCTCGCTTCAAGTTCGTTCTTACGTTTCAGGATCACCGGGCCTATCTCCACAAACAGAGGCAGGGGCAGTTTTATACATGTCTGCGAATGTATGCTGATGCAGGGGACAGGTGTTGAAAAGGCATTTTCGTAAAGGGCGTGGCTTAACATTGAGAAATCTCAATACCTGAGAAGGGAGGGGACGAAAGCCAGCCTGCACTCACCTATGCACATCTACATTTTTGGCGCGCTTGCGTCCTTTGGGGTCAAGCAATTTTTGGAAACCATTGAAAGAATGTATGAATGCAAGGGTGTGGAAACCGCCCTGGGGAAGCATACTTTTTCAAGGAAATGCACGAAAGGGAGCATAGTCATCGTATCATGAAACCTAAAGCTGCCATGAAATCTGGAGACCGGGACATGCATGTTTAGAGGGAGGGTACCTCCCCTCGAATATACATGTTTGCGCAAAGGTTGTGTTTCAAGTTTCTTCTTTTTGTTTCAAAACTTTTTTTTGCGTTCCAAATCGTTTCTTAGCGTTTCAATCCTCCTCTTTTCGTTTCAAACTCCTTTTCGTTTCGAGCGTGTTCTTTGCGTTTCGAGTGTATGTTTTTCGTTTAAGGTATCCTCCTTCCATTTCGGTTGCGCCCTTTTCATTCCAAATCTCTTCTTTCCTTTTCGTTTCCTCGACTCCCTTCTTTCGTTCCAAGTTTTTTTTTGCTTCAAATGTCTTCTTTTCGTTTCAAGCGTCTTCTCTTGGCTTCAAATGTTTTTCATTTCCAACCTTGTCTTTGCGCTTCAACTCCTTTCTTTGCATTTCAAATCTCTTAATTGTCGTTTCCGGTCAAGTGATTCTTTTCTTGTTAAAGCTCTTAATATGTCTTCTTGTCGGTTCAAAACTCTTCTTTTTGTTTCGATCTTCTTTTTGCTTCGACTGTCTTCTTTTTCTGTCAAGCCTTCTCTTTCACGATGCTGCGAAGCAGCAAGGATCGGCCGGCGTCTTCTCGTCTCCGTACTGACGCTGCGACGCTGCGAGGGCCGGCTCGCGTAATCGCGTCTTCGCCCTGACGGTGCGACGCCGCGACGTTGCGACGCTGCAAGGGTCCGGCTCGCACGTCTTCGATATGAAATTCTTGCATCCGCTCAGTGTGCAGTGAGTTGTTGCCACGGATGTAGTAAGACGAGACTCATGGACACCGCCAATCATCCTGCTCCCCAGCGACACGCCGAATTTACACCCGCATGTTTTCCTTCCCTCGGCACGGACTCACGCAAACGCACTTTCCACCATGTCCATGGCACAGCCACATCACGGACGGAAATTGGCCACACAGACTGCAACAGGCTATAGATACAATGCAATGTTAAGCATCGTGGGCGCCGCCAATCCGCCCCAGCGATGCACCGAATATACACCAGCATGCTTTCCTTCCCCCCAATGGCACGGACTCACGCAAACGCACTTTCCACCGTGGCCACGCAAAACCCCATGGCACAGCCACATCACGGACGGAATTGGCCACACAGACTGCAACAGGCTATAGGTACAATTAAGCATCGTGGGCGCCACCAATCCGCTCCCCAGCGATGCACCGAATATACACCAGCATGTTTTCGTTCCCCCCAATGGCACGGACTCGCGCAAACGCACTTTCCACAGTGGCCACGCAAAACCGCACGGCACAGCGACATGACAGACGGAACTTGGCGTTAACAGACTAGATACAACAAAACAATGTAACATTAAGCATTGTGGGCGCCGCCAACCATCCCGCTTCCCAGCAACACGCCGAATATACTCCGTTCCTTCCCCCAATGGCACGGACTCACGCAAACGCACTTTTCACCGTGGCCGCGCTAAACCGCATGGCACAGCGACATCACAGACGGAATTTGGCCACATAGCGCAGCAGACTAGATACAACAATGTAACATTAAGCATCGTGTGCACCGGCAATCATCCCGCTCCCAGTGGCCCAGCGACACACCGAATATACACCAGCATGCTTTCTTTCCCCCAATGGCACAGACTCACGCAAACGCACTTTCCACCGTGAGCGCGCACAAACGCATGGCACAGCGACATCACGGAGGAAGGCGTTAACAGACTAGACACTGTGACAGACAGTATTTGGCCTGATAAACGGAATTTGGCCACAGAGTGTGCAGCAGACTAGATACAGCAATGTAACATTAAACATCGCGCGCGCCGCCAATCCTTCCACAACCCAGCGACACACCGAATTTACTTTCCTCTTTTTAGTGGCACGGACTCCCAAAACCGCATGGCACAGCGAAATCGCAAACGGAATTTGGCCGCGCTCAACACGCACGATCCTCGCAGAGGGTTCATTCGGCACAGCGGGACTTTGCACACACGTTTGAGCACTCGACACGCACGATCCCCGCAGAAGGCGCAGAGGGTCACGTTTCGCAAGCGCTGTGCGGCCAGGGCCCGGCTATCAAAGAAGAGATAAATAGCCGAGATACATCACGCAGGCGCGAATGAACATATGCTTTACTTCATTGTAGCATACGCTTACTTTTGTATATGCGCTTACTGAAGCAAGACCCCAGCGAAAGCTATACTTGACTTTGCATATGACTTTACTTAAGCAACACCCCACCGAAAATCATCCAAGCAAAATCCCACCACCAAAGCGACTCACCAAAACAAGACCCCACCACCAAGGCAACTCACCAAAGCAAGATCCCAGCACCAAGGCAACTCACCAAAGCAAGATCCCAGCACCAAGGCAATGCTAGCAAAAGTTATCCAAGCAAGTTCCCAGCACCAAAGCAATGCTAGCGTAGCAGCAGCTACACAACCATACCTGCAAGCTGCAGATGTACTGCTAGCATACCTATTGTAGCATACATACAACTGCAGCTGTATAGGTTGCAAATGTATTTGCAGCATTTGCCACTGTATTACCACCTCCTCTAGCAGCAGGTCCAGAAGAACACGCACGCAAGCTACAAATATACTTATGGCATACATACCAATGCTGTTATGGTAGAAAACCACGCACGCAAGCTGCTAATGTACCTTACAGCGTGCTTATAGCGTAACTTGCAGCTATGAACAAGCCAGCAAGATATTGATGCAAATGCGCTACGCAAAAGACTTCTACAGAAGAACCCTTCGCAACACTCCCGGGAACCGAACGGGTGCTCCAGGGAGATGTTTTTCATGCAAAAACATGTGTAAAAACACTGCCCCCAAAAAAGGAACACACACATGAAAACCAAAAACCAATGTTTGAGACAAAATGAATGCAAAACCCAAAAAACAAATCCAATCCCACAGTACCCTAATTTCCTCTCAAACATTGGTTTATATTATATTGTCTTTATGTTTTTTGCTTTCTTGTATTTTCTCTAGGCCTTTGTAGAACACCAGGCACTTTTCGTAATTTGAACAGCTTTGTTTCGATAGATTTCTTTCTTTCCTAGCGCAGTTGCATAGTTTTCAGTGACGGCTTTTGCCGAGTGCCGGAGACTGTGCTTCGGAGTGCTTCGTCTTTCCTAACTTCTTCTATCTGCACAAATGCATTTAAAGTTGAACACCAAAAGAAACCGCTTCAACCTTCACAAGGACTATGTTGATTTTTCGTTTGTAAAACATTGCCTTGCTAAGAGCATGAAGATTCAAAAAAAGGACAGCATTGCTAAAGAAGCTAATGAGCTAGCCAAAGTCGCTACAGCATCAGTTAAATCCAAGCAGTCCTCTCAAAAGGTGCTCCTATTGCTCCAGTAGGTTGTATCTGTCGTCCTACACGTTCAGTCGTCCCTTAACATTGAGCACCGAAAAGGAAGCTGCTTCAATCGTCACAAGGCATGTTTCTTTGTCAAGTTGTCTTGTTTGGCTTGGGTCTTTCAAAGAAGGTAGGGAGCTGGACTAGGCACAAGAAGTTTGACCGATGTCTATGTAAAAGCAAAAACTGTTCTATTACAGTATATAAAATATGTACTGTATATGTCTCGTTGGTTGTCTTGTCATGGCGCTTGTTTCTCTTGGTTGGACAAGATGCCAGCCAAAGCCAAGCTCATGCAATTAAACCAGTGTTATTTGGATTGCTTCTGGCCTTTGAAAAGTAAGACATCGAAGAAAATACGGCATAGATGGACGAATAGAAAGAATTAATCATAACATAACATAAACAATTTTGGAACAATAGACAAGCCCTGTGGAATCAAGGCGAAGTTCCTAAGGGGAGAGTGTTGAAGCTAAAGTCTGAGATACAACGTCTGGTTTCTTCGTGTTTCTTGTCCCCTAGTTCTGACACATGCTGCCTACAGCTGCAAGGCAGACTGACAACACAGCTCCCTTCACACTACATGTGTACTGCAAAGTTTACATGCGTAGTGCAAAGTTGTGCCCCTTTGTGTTGCCAAGCTACAGTGTGACTGCCAAATGCTGCCCTTGGCCAGCCAAACGCCTCAGGACCAGGATCACCACATTCATCCAAATACCGCAAACGCTGATCAGCTTGCAGTTTCAGTATGGGAGGCGGACAAGTGGAATTCGAAGGCCCTTCTCAAGTGTAGTATCCTCTTGCACCAGCTCATTCTGCTTTGGCGTAGCCTCAAGTGCCGCGCACTCACCACCAGCCGGGTGCGTGCGCATTGCTCGAGTCTAGGGCATGGCAAGCAAACACTCGAACGAAGCTCCTCTAACAAAATGCACTGCTTAGTTTCGGCTGTGGTTGGTGCAATAAAGCCGCAGTTGCCCCATCGTTAGGGTCACTCTGGCTTCACTTGGATCTCACTCGGAACATGCTTCAACTGATTCAAAACGTCATCGCGCCGGAAGCGCATGCCTGCCAACTAGTGACTAGTGTGACGAAATGGAAATGGATCAAACATGTTTGTTCTTCCTAGTTCTGAGAGATTGCCAATGGACCCGCCCCTCGCTAAATGTGTCCTGCTAAGCTTTCCCACACTGCACATGGTGTGCGTTGTTTGTGTCTCTTGGCGTCGCCAAGCTACAGTGTGACTGCCAAACGCTGCCTTTGGCCGGCCAAACACCTCAGGACCAGGATCACCACATTCATCCAGATACCACATACATCCGCATACGCTGGTCAGCTTGCAGTTTCAGTATGGGAGGTGGACAAGTGGAAAAGCGGAATTGGAAAGCAGTGTAATGTGTCTGTGTCTTGCGCGCGCCTTGGCTCCGCTCACCTCCTCTTGCACCAGCTTTGGCGTAGCCTCATGTGCCGTGCACTCACCACCAGTCGGGTGTAGGCGCATTGCTCGAGTCTAGGGCATGGCAAGCAAAGCCCGCCCGCACGCACGCACGCACGCTCGTCACGCTCGCACGCACGCACGCACTCACTCACTCACTCACTCCACCACGGCCACCGTCACCACGATCCCCACCTTCATCACCACCATCACCTCTCTGGACCCCAACGCGTCTAGATCTCTAGACTTTCTGCGTATAGACCTCACACACTGTTTGGGGTCTCTTACCGGGATGATTTTTTCAGCAGGGTCACTGGGCACTCCTTGGCAAACTCAGTGCAACGAAGCTATGCCTTGGAGTTGGAAGCACGGATTGATCACCCGAGCGCGCGCGCGGTTCTAGCCCGAGAATTTCCTACTTGGCCCAGTTGTAACTAGAACAAGATGACCAGCCATTGCATCCGTTCCATCACTGCAGTCACGCACTTTGCTTATGAGATTTGAACCGAACTTATGACCTTTGGACTTGAACTTTGACTTTGGGCGCTTCAACTTTGGAGTTTGCGCCAGCCACTTTGGCAAGGCACGGGGTGACCAGAGCGGTCGAAGCTTTTTAAGGCCTCTATTGAGCCTCAGGTGCACACACAGCGCATACTGTTCAAACGAGGCGAGGTCCACCTAGGTTCTTCCAATCAAGTCTGGTTTCGTTGGTTTCCGGCCCCTCCATTTGGTTACCCTTTTCATTCTGTCCCCTTTACACACTGTCTTTTCCTCTTTCTTTTCACGTCTTTCTGTCTTCATGTCTTGGCACCTCATCCTTTCTTTCTTTTGCGTCTTTGTCCATGTTGCGCGCACATTTGCACACTTGTTTGTCACTTAGTAACCTGGCCTCCCTTATCGGGAGGCGTGTGTGAAACCCTTGGAGTCACCGGGGTTCCTTCGAATGTGCTTTTTCCTTTTTCAGCAGGGGCACTGAGCACTCCTTGGCAAACTCAGTGCAACGAAGCTATGTTTTTTTGGAGTGGGAAGCACGGATTGATCACCCGTGTGTACCTGCAGTTATACCCGAGAATTTCCTACTTGGCCCCGTTGCAACTAGAACAAGATGACCAGCCATTGCATCCGTTCCATCACTGCAGTCACGTTTCGACTTTGGAGTTTGGCATTCCGGAACTGGCTTGTGGCATTCAGTTCCGCACGCATTTCCTAAGTGTGTGTCTGGCACGCACCTTGGCTCCGCCCACCTCCTCTTGCTCCAGCTCATTCTGATGGATGGCAGCGGACACTTGCTTTGGCGTAGCCTCATGCGCCGTGCACTCACCACCAGCCGGGCGCATGCGCATTGCTCAACTCTAGGGCGGCAAACAAACACTTGAACGAAGCTCCTCTAACAAAATGCGCTGCTTAGCTTCGTCTGCGATTGCCTGATTCATTACAAAACGTCAAGGCGCCAGAAGTGCATGCCTGCTAGTGACTAGTGTGACGAAATGGAAATGGAACAAACATGGATCAATGGATCAAACATACAAAGTGTGGTTTCTTCACGTTTCTTCTTCCTAGGGACACGCTCATCCCTAGTTTTGAGAGGCAACTGCCTGTCACCCAGGATCTTGCAGCTCAAATTGCCAATGCGTCTCCCTCCACGCTAAATGCTGCACCTGGTGCGTTGTTTGTGCCTCTTTGCGTCGCCAAGCTGCAATGTGACTGCCAAACGCTGACTTTGGCCGGCCAAACGCCTCAGGACCAGGATCAGCACATTCATCCAGATACCACATACATCCGCATACGCTGGTCAGCTTGCAGTTTCAGTGTGAGAGGTAAACAAGTGGTGAATGGGAAGGCCTTCCAGTGTGGTGTGTGCGTGTGTGTCTGGCGCGCACCTTGACTCCGCTCACCTCCTCTTGCCCCAGCTCATTCTGCTTTGGCGTAGCCTCATGCTTGTGCTGAGTGTAGGGCATGGCCAACAAACACTCAAATGAAGTTCAATCACCCATGAAGCCGCAGTTGCCCCATCATTGGGTTCACTCTGGCTTCAGTGGTCTTGGATCTCACTCGGAATGACTAGTGTGATGAATTGGAAATGGATCAAAAATGGATCAAACATATACAAGTGTGGTTTCTTCATGTTTCTTCTTCCTGGGGACATGCTCATCCCTAGTTCTGAAAGGCAACTGCCTGTCACCCAGGATCTTGCAGCTCAGATTGCCAATGCGTCTCCCTCCCCGCTAAATGTGTCCTGCTAAGCTTTCCCACACTGCACATGGTGTGCTGTGTGCGCCTCTTTGCGTCACCAAGCTACAGTGTGACTGCCAAACGCTGACTTTGGCCGCCCGAACGCCTCAGGACCAGGATCAGCACATTCATCCAGATACCACATACATCCGCATACGCTGGTCAGCTTGCAGTTTCAGTATGAGAGGCAAACGAGTGGAGAATCTGAATGGGAAGGCCTTCCAGTGTAATATGCGCGTGTGTGTCTGGCGCGCACCTTGGCTCCGCTCACCTCCTCTTGCTCCGGCTCATTCTGATGGATGGCAGCGGACACTTGCTTTGGCGTAGCCTCATGTGACTCGCCGCGCACTCACCACCAGCCGGGTGCATGCGCATTGCTCGGGTCTATAGGGCATGGCAAACAAACACTAACGAAGCTCCTCTTATAAGATGCACTGCGCTTAGTTTCTGCGAGTCGGCGTAAGAGTCGGCCGACCTCAAGACACTCGCCCTTGGGCCAAAGGTGCGGTTGATGTATGTACAAATTGTGAAAAATCCTGTTACATCCTACTTGCTCATGTGAATTCGGAGCTGTTCACACGGCCCATGCCTCCGTGCCTTCAAATCGGGGACACTCAAATTTGGGAAGCGCAGATACTGAAGAAATATATGTACTGATGCCGTTTGACAGACACCTTACTGCGCGTGACATGAGCAAGACTCGGTCGACTGCTGCCACTTTTTGCAAACGAAATCACGGACTTTACATATGGCTTCATCTGTACATCATTCGCTGGCTTCAAGATGAGTTCGTTGAACTGATGTAATTAGTATCGGAAGTGTGACATACAAGAGGCCAGGAGAGACCATTCCGACGAGTTTGACTATGCCACCGAAATTCAGTGAAGACAACTTGGGTGGACGCAATTTGCTGGCGTCGTATTCAGCCAGCGTGCGTGTGAAGCATGGATTGAGATTGGTGTGCCCCCGGTGATTGTCGTTGCAGCATCCTACTCTTCTACCAATGCTGAGCAAGGGCCGAAGGCGCGTCTAGTACATCACCTACACAAACCTATTCAACTTCACAAGCGAAGAGGAGAAGGAAACGAGCGCCGACAAGCTTCTTTCCAGTGTGGGGAAGTACATCTCCAGATCGCAATGATGATGACAGTGATGAAGTCAAAGCCGCAAAGGAAGAGAAGGGTACTGTAGAAGGATTCTTCAGGACATGCGACTATCCCATCGTTTCTGCTCCGATGAATCAGGGAGAGGTTGGATGTCTTTGGAGAAAGGGTCGAAGGCCTCCTGGTTCCAATACCATTCCACACCGAGCTCAACGGAAAAGGGGCGCAAAAGGCAAAGCCGACAGCGCCCTAAGCACTTCCCAACCAGTCCCCTAGGTCAGTACTACGCGGGCTCTTCTCCGCTTAACTTCGGAGGTCGAAAGAGATTTGGTGCGTTCGGAGAGATATGGCCGTCGGCGACAAACGTACAGTCGGCGGGTATTTGAGACTGCTTGGCCGTGTGAAGAGCTCCGGCTACTGTCAGTATCACTGCTGAGCAGAGCCAGTGGATTCCCTTCGGGGATCATCCGATAAAATTGGAACGATACAGAGAAGATTAGCATGGCCCCTGCGCAAGGATGACACGCACAAATCGAGAAGTGTACCAAATTTTTTGCCCAAGTGGTTGGTTCATTGCACGCGCACACACACAAACAGACCAGACTTGCACAGCTGATCGATGCCCTCAACAATGCTATCAGAACCCATGGAATGGAGAATGTAACTGCCTCATCACCCAGCAAGGGCTCATTGATCGCCATTACCAGACGCGCAGATTGCGATGACATCATGGGCAGATTATGTCAGAAGGCGCCAAACTATGAGAATCAGGACGGGTTGAGAATGACCGAGCCCGATTTCTTCAAAGGCTGTGAGCACACCCTGTATACTGTGGTTACGCCACCAGGTTGCGCAACAAGAGATATATACCCCGAGACCAGATCAACGTTGCCGACATCCTCAGGAACAGTGTCAACAATAGGACAGATCAGACGATCGAGAGAGCAGCGGCGCTGAATCATCTTCACAACTACAGTGACTACAGTACTCGACCATGTTCGGTACGCAGCACTGGTTGGGGAGAAACTGGAGAAGTTGGCTGAGACCACATTCGACAAGATTCTTTTCAAATGGTTTGAAGACGTGACGCCTGATATATGGAGAGCTGGTTATTGTGTATTGGCCGCAGGGCAAGGATCATTCTGGGGAACCACAGAGAGGAAGAAACATTTCAAAGCTGTCAGAAAATACCTGGCCAACATCCTCGCCTTCGACCAATCAATCAACGAACCAGAGGCATATACCTTCGAGGATCCTCCAGGTTTGAAAGACATCAACTGTCCTCCGCCAAAGTGGGTGACAGGATTCGAGAAATTGAGTGGAAGTCGTCTATATGGCGGCGCTGGTATGACAAGAGGATCAGTTGTTTTGCCGATGTGGGAGGTGGCACTACAAGGTGGTGTGCCTGCCCTGCAGCGCCCACCAGCAGCCGACGAGCTCAAGTCCAAAGTCAGCTCCTCCTACGAGAGACCATCTCATTCATCGGCGACCTATGGCGCAGTGGATATTGACGATCCATGGAATCGATATGTACAGAGGCCACGAACGCCGCGAGTGTTCCTTCAGATGCATGGGATGTATGGATGACCCCTGTGGCATCGCCACCTCCTCCGAAGCAACGACCTGGGCCACCGCCGCCAAAGGCCACGCCGAAGAAGGATGGGCCACCGAACACGCTGGAAGTCAGAAAAGTTCCACAAAGCTCAACGGTCCAAACGATGACGCGGAGGACAATTGTGGGGTGAAGTATCAAAAAAACACTATTTATCGCATCAATAAAAAATTATTCAAGGGGATCAATAAAAAAACTAATTACTTAATCAAAAAAATAATAATTCTACCACGAACCCTCTTTGGGCTGGGCGTCGGCCTGTATACTAATCTCTTTCCTCCTGCCTGGCCTCCTGGCTAACAGGCAGTTTCCGCTCAGAGTCGAAATTCGTGGCAGGAATCTTGTGGCACAGGGGCGGGTTGGGGGGAGGGGGACGCGCCTCCCCCTATGAGCAGACACGGCTAACGCTTTCAGGTATGTACTACATTATTCTGAACTAACGTGAGTGATTAAATGTTTGATGGTTTTTTCTTTTCTGATTATTGGAGTAATTTCATTCTATTTCATACATTTTGTCAATTCTGTAGTGCATTATATTAAATCACGTTTCCTGTCTCTTCCTGGCTTTCTGGCCTCTTTTTACAACAGCAGCAGCTTTAGTTTTTAAAAGTCAAGTTTCCGCTCAAATCTTCCTGTGTGTCATACTAAGTTGTTGGTTCCTGGCTGATTGGCTTTTTTGTCTAGAATAACAGCAGCTTTAATGTTCAACAGGCAAGGTTCCGCTTACAGTCAGATTTCGTCGCAAGACTTTTGAATAGCATTTGCAGATTTGGTGGGCAAGGTTTACCAAGGTTCCACTAAAAGCCTGATTTCATGGCAGGGACGTTGAATACTATCTGCAGATTTCGTTGC